TGGTAGCAGGTACCAGGGTGGTAGCTGCAGTAGTGAATCCTCTAAGCTGAGAGTTTCCAGTTATTCCTCCTCTCCTTTCTGTCCCATGTTTTCATTTCCCCTTCTCTTTCTTTGTCCCAGGGATCCTGAGGGGCAAGCTGCTGAGCTCTCAGTGAAAATTTTCACCTCTCCTGTGCCCCCACGCCACACCCCTTCCATTCATATTGCTCCTTTTGAAGGTTCTTTGTTGCCAGGCTACCAAAGTCAGAAGTGGGACTGTAGAAGGGCAGGCCTCTGCTTTCACAGCCTCCTCAGGCAGAGGAGAAAGTAGGGGTGCCTCTCATCATGGTGCTAAGACTGACGGCAACAGAGAGCTCCTGGGTGAAATCCCACAGCAAACCACTCAGAAATCGATTCTCACCCAAGGCACTAGATGAGATGGCAACTCCACGGCAGAAACTCCACAGATAGAAAAGGATGGGGGGATTCTACCTTCAGGAAAATAAGAGGCAACAGAATAAACTTACCCATGAGATGTTTGACACTCTGGGTTATGGGTTCCTCAATATAAGTATAGAGTCTAAACTCATCCTTGATGTTAAGGAAGAAATTGCTAGGAAAGATTTGTTTTCTCTTGTAGTGAAGTTACAAGAACACCATTAAGTTTCATGCAAGGATTGTCTTCATAATTGACCAAAGGTGATTGATCTGCCAAGATACAGTAAGAGATCTATGAGTGTTTATTTATGATTTCCCCTAAAGATCAAGGGATGATAAGTGCCTTTTCTTCTTGAGGAATAATTCATGCCATCCAGGATGAAAATGAATCAGAAACCAGTCCAAAAACTTGCTGGTATGTAGGGACAATGCTAGGCAGCAGAATTTGAACCAGTCCCTTAGTACAGGCTAGATTTTCAACTACAATGGGAAGTTATTATTTGATTGCTCATAAGGGACACATGTATTACAGAGTGGCAATTTGGAGAAATGGAGGACAGGTTTATGAAAAGTCAGATTAACTTGACACCTACTCAACTATTCTTAATGCATAAAACTCAAGTGCCCAAACTGCAGCCCCAGGTAACTTATGGTTCCTCCTGGTGCATGAATACCACCCACGGAGACATCACCTCCAGGACAGACACTTCGGCATGACTTCAGAACTGACCCACCACTTCTCCAGGAAAGTCCTAACAAGACTAGCAAAAAGCCACCACCAGATGCGAAGAACGACTTAACCAGAAGTGGTTGCCAGGGAAGATCTCAACAGTGGTGATGCCAATGGGGCCATCGATGGTGTTAGGGAAAACCAGAGCTCTGAAATACATGATGATAGATGATTACCTGGCCAGTTCACAGAAGTGACAATGTCATGGAGGCTTTCCTGAATGGATTTGACCAGTGCTCCAAACTGGTGGTTGATATCCCCTTGGTGGAATCCTATTTAGCAAAGGGTACAGTTTGTGCCATCATTTCAGGGCTGGTGAGCATTCCGAACTATCCACCTACTGGAGAATGGCAACAATTTCTCTCTTCTTACCTTGTCTTCAGCAGTTAGTTAAGACTGGGAATGGTTAGCTAACCTACTCAACAAATAAAGTACCATGTGCAGAAAATGACCCCAGAAATTGGTCAGAATAAGGATCATATGATCAGGATTTTGGAAGGAAAAGAAGGTTGTTTTTGATTCCCACTTCTAAAGTTGAAGAAGGAACTATTGAAGCAAAATTAAGTAGAATCCACCAACTCAGTCTATATATAAATGGACCAGAGATGACATCTGGCCTGAGCTTTATGTAGATAAAGGATCTGTGAGCATCTAAATGACCAGCTTCTCACAGTATATATCTGGTGAAATAAGCCCATCCATCGATGAAATGGATTCTTCTGCCTTCCTAGACAAATTAGTTCAGGAGAAACATTGCT